CGTCAGCTCGCGGGCGAAGACTGAGCCTCGCGCTGCGCGCAGGCTCCGCGGCCGGCCTCAGGGAGACTCCCGCCCGCCCGATCCCACCCGGCCGCGCGTCCCGGGAGTCGCCCAAGAGCGCAGGGAGGTGGCGGGGAGCGCGGCGCGCGTCTTCGGCGCAGCTCCCGCCGGAAGAAAGCTGCCAGCCGCCGCCGCCGCCGCCGCCGCCTCCGCCGCCGCCTCCGCCGCCTCCGCCGCCTCCCACCCGCCGGCCTCTCTCTCCTGTACTCTCGTTCCTTCTAGCCCCTTCCTCCGGGCTTCCGTCACCGCCCCGGCATTTCCGCCCGGAAGAGTCGAGCGGGCGGCGCCGCCGGGGCTCGGCAGGCGAGGAGTAGAGCAGCGCCCCCGAACGGCTCGGCGGAGAAACGGTCCAGGGTACGGAGGATCGCTCCTCGTGTCCGCTCTTCCCTTCTCCTTTCCCACCGGGGCGAGCTGTGTTGAATCTTCTTTCCATCCTGTTCACTGAGAACTTTGTCCTCACTGCGGCCTCTTGTGCTTTTTCAGCGCCCTGGACAGGGAATTGGGAAGTTTGAGTTTTTCCTGGAAAACATTTCACTCGCCCTTAGCAGGCAGTCAATATTTATTGAATAATTATTTTCTAGTTCTAACTCTAGCTGTGGGGCCCTCAATCTTCACTTGTCCCTTTCAGCATCAGAAAGGTACAGTGACTACTCTGTATAAGAATCTGTGTCCATTCCAGCTCCAGCAGTAACCGTGCTTACTGGAATGTTTGAGTTTTAACAGTTTCTTCATTCAATACTTACTCATTGAAGAGCCGCTAGCTGCAAATAGACCATGCTAAACGGCCATACCTCCTGTATCTGAGGTACATACTAATGCCGCTGAGCGCAAGTGGCAGTCAGCATCCTATATCAGAAAGCAAGAGGTTCCTGTGTTGGCTTTGCCAAATTCCTACCTGTGTCTTTGGGCAATCATCAAACCTCCTCACACCTTTAATTCTTCATCAATTAAAATCATCTAGGCCTATCTTTGAAAATTGAATTTGAAAAGTGCCTGTTCAGTAGTATAGTAGGGAAGCAAAATGTTAAATTTTCTCATCCCTTCCGGGGAACAGTTACAGGGAGCTTCAGAAAAGTGACATTTGAGCTGAATTCTGAACATTCTCCCCAGGCAAAACCTCTTAAAGTTGCCCAGAGTAGGGGAAAGATGTTCTAAGGAATTTGTGTGCATTTGTGTATCTGTCTGTGCCAGAGGACAAATGTCTGAAAGACCGGTATTTGGAAAGCTGAGGTACTCCTAGCAACCGAAATAGGTCATATGGTGGGGAATTAGGATGGAAAAGGCCTACTCCCGCAGCAGCTTGTAAACAGCAGATCAGCTGAGCAAACACGACAAAGTGCCAATACAATGCCAGAGAGAGGGGTGCCCGTCTGCGTAGTAGCCACGCCACTGCATTCTCCGAGGAGCTTGGACCACAAAGGTTTAAAGGAGGCAGAATTTTGCCTAAGTCTGAAAAGCTCAGAATGAAAGTGAGAATGAGACTATTATTGGAATTCCCGGAGAAGGTGGACTGAGAACAGAAAATACACCCTCGGGAGAAACGGGAATTATGGATGTGGTTAGGGAAGGAGGTCCTTGAAACTGATAACTAATGTTTGGAATTGGTGTGAGAGAATGGTTTTATAGTTGGAGGTGAGTAGGTGAGTTTGTGTAAACAGCACTTTTGAAAAGTTTAGTCAAATGATGCTGTAGAAAGTGCTCCTCTTTTTCTTCTTCTCCTTCGTATCTTCTTTCTTGAGACATAGTTTTGCCATGTTGCCCAGGCAACATGTTGCCTTGAATTCCTAGGCTCAGGTAATCCTTCTGCCTCAGCTTCCCAAGTAGCTGGGACTATAGGCACTTACCATATGCCCAGTATGAATGCTTCATGTTACTTTTTTTTTTTTTTCATTTTTCTTCTTGTTTAAATCTCCAATAACCTTTTGGTTTTTTTTTTTTTGGTACTGGGGATCGAACTTGGGGCCTTGCACTTGCAAGGCAGGTGCTGGAATCACTGAGGTAAATCCCCTGCCCCTAATCTCCAGTAACCTTATGAGGCAAATGTTATTATTGCCCTCCATCTTGTTACTGGATTTAGGGATGCTGAAGTCTTCCTTCAGAGGTGATTTTTAGGTCCTTTCTTTTCTGGACAAAGAATCAACGAGATAAGCATAAGCAGTAGCAACGTTTCACATTTCTTAAAGACAGGGGAAAAAACTAGAAGGGTAGGGGAAAAACAGGCTCTGCAGAGAGAGTTTGGGTTAAGAAAAAAGGGAGAAAAAAATACACCCTATAGCATAGGTTGGACTGTTGTGAAGAGACAGGATAGTGATCCCTTAAATGCAGACTGTCCCTTTTTCCGTATTGCCCATGCTGATGTCAGGTCTGGGTCACCATATAAAAAACCTGCACCTGCAGGGTTCTGAGAGCTGTTCTAGGCGTGTCCCAGGATCTTGCCACACTTCCTTTTCCAGGTAGTTTTAACCACACCTCATCTTCCTGCCTCAGTTTCACATATGAGGAAATAGACACATACATGTTTAAAACATATTCATAGGCTGGTGGTATAGATCAGTGGTAGGGCATTTGCCTAGCTCATGGGAGGTTCTGGGCTCAATGCTCAGCACCACAGAAACAAAATAAAAGAACAACAACCAGAAACACACACTCATGTATTTGACAAAGGATTAATGTCTATATTATGCACAATGGAGTATATTCAATCATAAAGAAAAATGAAATCCTGTTGTTTGTAGCAAAATAGAGAGATGTTAAGTGAAACAAGCCATATACTGAAAGACAAGTACTGTAGGTTCTTCCACATATATAGAAACTAAAAAAAAAAAAAAATTTACCCGAATGTAGAATAGAATAATGATTACTACAGGTTGAGGAGGCACAGTAGATAAAGGGAAGCTGGAAATGAACAGTGCATGCCTGTGTGTACATTATGAAGTATCACTAAAAAACATTAATATTTGTATGATTAATATGTGTTAATAAAAACATTTTTATTTTGTTTAAATTTTTTTAGTACTGGGGATCGAACTCAGGACATTGCAGTTGGGAGGCAGGCATGGTGCTACTGAGCTAAATCCCCACCCCAATAAAAACATTTTAAAAAAGAAAAAAGCCCGGGCAGGGGATTTAGCTTGGTGGTTTCACTGCCTGCTGCGCAAGCGCAAGGACCTGAGTTCAATCCCCGGTACCAAAAAAAAAGAAAAAAAGCCCAAATGTTATCAAGTAGTTCCTTTAGAAATGGCTTGCCAATCAGAAGTATTCCAGGTCCTTCTTGCCTTGAACAAAGAATTGGACAAGACAAGCCAAAACCAGTGCCTAAAGTTTATTTGAAAATTGAGGGGTGAGGGATAAGGGAAAAACTGGCTCTGCAGAATGAATGTGGGGCAAACAAAGAGAAAAAGAGCAAAGAGAAAAGTACACCCTGGTCTAGAAGACGCAGAGAGGGCTACCGTGAAGAGTCAGGATAGTGGGCTCCTCCTGGCATCCTGTCTCTTTTATGCTCTCCAGATCTCATGGGAGCTAAGATATCTCACATATGGGAAATTAGTTGGCACTGTCCTGGGGTCTTGTAATGGACAGGTCCTGTTTGTTTCCCCAGCCAGCTTTGCCAGGCCCTATCTCCTATCTTACATATGCATTCATTTCATACTTGCTGGTGGAGGAAGAAGTAACACTATGTCTGTCTGCCTTCCACTCTCCTACTTTATGTTGTATAGCTTGTGTGGTCTAGCAGGAAAAGCTGAAGGATGGTGGACCAGCTAAGGAAACTGGTGACTGCGATATCAGGTTCTGCTACTCTGGTTTATGAAGGCATTTTAATGAAAAATAAAAACTGTAATTCTTAAACTGTATTTCTTTGCTCTTTGCTTCCATATTGTTTTGTTTGTGTGTGTGTGTGTGCGCGCGCGCATGCACATGTGTGTGTTTTCTCCTGTGGAACACCACTATCTCCAATTCTTACTAATTGTTATGCAAAACTACATTTAATCATCTTATATTTATAGGGTAGTTCTACCTACATTTTTATTCTCTTCTCATTTTTATTCTTTTTACTTCTTTGGTAAAGAATTTTAAAACTGCTGACTTTAGCAGAACCTTTGTCTTAAAGGTACATGTTAAATTTTGCTTTCTTAAAATATGATATTTCTTGATGTGTTAATCTATTTAAAGTATGAATTGTTTATATATTTTAATGTGTCCAAGTTGTATGCTACATTAAAATTTTACATTTTAGTGGTCTAAAAAAGATTCTACTTTAAAGTTGCAATCTTCAAAAAAATTGATGTTTGAACTCCTAATTCAAATACCTTCAGATAAGTGGAGTGTGAATACAATATTATTGGAATTGATACCGGGAGCTCTGCATCAGAATCTTCATCCACAATGACTAAAATTGAAATTGGGCTGGGGCTCTAGTTCAGTGGTACAGTGCTTGTCTAGCATGTGCAAGGTCCTGGTTTCAATCTTCAGTGCTACACCTGCACACACAATAAAAAGGTAAAGTTAAAAATGGACAAAGACAAATGGAAATGCTTTAAAACTACAAATAACAAATCTGGCAAATAAATTAAAGAAGTAGTTGAATGGGGCTTTATAGATAGACATGTGAGAGGGAAGAAACTCTAAATGCTCCATCATTGAAATCATTGCTAGGGATGGAACAGCTACTTTGGGGTTATCAGAAAAAAAAGGATGTGGCTAAAGGCCAAATGTTAGGGATAACAAAGTGAACCTGTGTTCTTTTCTTTTTTGGTACCAGCGATCTCGAACTCGGGACCTTGCGCTTGTGAGGCAGGCGCTGGTACCACTGAGCTAAATATCCGGCCCAAACCTGTGTTCTTAATGTCAGTTGAAGTCAGAATACCAAGTATGGGTTGTCCATTGTTATGGTTTATGTCTAAATGTGCCCCGCCCCGCGCCTGAAGCCTCATGTGCTCATAGGTAGAGCTTTTCAGAGGTGGCTGGATGCAGAGTGTGTGAATATGGATTAAAGATGCCTGAAAACTAAATTGGTTTAGCATAGATCTGGATGTGGATAATGGAGGCTCCACCCTGGGTGTGAATGGTACCAATCAATAAGCTCGTAGTCTGGATGGGGTAAAAGAGAAAGGAAGGCTCACTGCTGTAGCTTTCTGTCTCCTGCCTGCTCTGTCATGGACTGTTTCTCCTCTGTGATGCCCCTCTACCATGCCACCCTATCTTGGAGCTGGCCAACTATGGACTGAAACCTCTATACACTGTGAGCCAAAATAAACCATTTCTCCGTTAACTGGTGGGTGTTGGGTATTTTGTCTCAGCAATGAGAAAAGTAACTAAGTCCTATATTCAATGGAATCTTGGATTCAATCAAACAGCGTATTTTAAAAATACTCTCTAGAGCTGGAGATATAGCTCAGTGGGAGAGTACTTTCTTAGCATGTAAAAGGCCAGGGA